CAAGTAATGTGGGCATATATGGCAAGGGAATCAAGAATTGAGAGAGAAAAGTATCAGATTCATTTCTTTTATTCTCTGCCCTTTTACCTTTGCCATTGACTAAAAAGCAGAAAATCAAATTAATTATGAGTTAAGTTCACATGTTAAGTTACAGCAAGGCAGGTATTTTAGTTAGAATTGTGCAGAATTATGCCTGGCAAACAGTGAGCACTCAATATTTAAGTAAATTTAATAAAAACAATTGTATACCTAAGTCACTGATGTTCAGTGTTTCCAATGCTATTTTATCCACCCCCACATGTGAATAGATGTATTCTGAAGCATCCGTGTGGAGCAGTAATGGATCGACAGATACTTACCACAGTTAAAAATGGCTTTCTACCTGCATGATTGAATTAGCTGGTACCACATGAAATGACAGTAATCCTTATGTCTCAGGCAACAAAGGGGTAAATTCTCTCAACAAAGTACAGAGCTCTATCTAGTGCTCTCCAACCACTTTTAATTTCATATTAACCTGTAAAGAAGCAATTTGCAAACCTACCCCAGAGCAATACAACTGCAAAAGAATGTCACACTAAATACTTTGTTTGGGGACATTTATCTTAGCTCCATTCACTATTTGTCAAGCTGAGAACATTTTAATGTTAATGTATTCCTGGCCATTTTCTCCAAGCAATAGAGTACATTCCCTCTTTCATAATAATACTATCCATAATGATCAAGCATTCCAAGTGTTAAAGAAGATCTTCTAGTCCTGGCAGGTTTGGCTCAGTGGATACAGCATCCTGGCCTGCAGACTAAAGGGTCCCAGGTTTGATTCCCAGTCAAAGGCACAAGCCCGGGTTGCCATCTCGAGCCCCAGTAGGGGGCGTGCTGGAGGCAATGGATCAATGATTCTCTCTCATCATTGCTGTTTCTCTCTCTCCCTCTCCCTTCCTCTCTGAAATCAATAAAAATATATTTTAAAAAAAAGATCTTCTATCAGGTGGGTGATATTCCAAAGAAGTGAGGTAAACCAGATGTCTGTCACAAAGGCACTTGTGGTCACAAGTTAATTAGGCAACTGTTACCCACTAGTGTCAAACCCAAACAGCACAGTCTGCTCCTTGAGATTGTGGGGTGACCAGGTGGGGTGCAAAGTTCTAATACTGCTTGCTTTATGTCACCAAGAGAGTGTTTTCGTTTTGTTGTTGCTTTAGAAGAAGCCAGCTAATTGAAGTTGAAAAACTGACTGTCAATAATAATTCATTTTGTTAGAACGATGAGCCTCAGAGAGACCATTCTCCTCCCAACCATTGGTATGCAGGCTGTAGCCTGGCAGCTCTAATTTGATTCAATTTTTAATCATTATTAATGCAAGTAGGCAAAGCTCTTAAAAATAAGTCTCTCTTAAAAGTTCCTTTAAATCTACAGACCAAAAGTATCTATAATTCCTTTATCACAGTAGGTCAAAATCATTTCTGTATTGTGAATGATTATTTACTGAGCCCTTACTTTGTACAAACATGGGGGAGTGGGGGATACAAATAAGGTCAAACCTCATCAAGTCTTTATCTTTAAGGATTTTGCAAAGGAACTGAGATCCTGATGGTCCTGGTCTCTACATCTACCAGCTCAAAGAGGGATGTGTAACCCTCACCTCTCCCCCCACTCAGCAATGACTGGAAGAGTCCTTGCTCTGGTGATGTGAGGCTTGATGATAAGAGACATCCTGAGACATCTTTTCAATACCCCTTTAGCTTGAGTGGGTTTCTGTTCTTTGCAATTAAACAGAAACGAAAAGACACATCAATTTTAGGTGATGATACAAGACAATATATAAGTGCCCTCTGTAAAATGAATGAGTGAATGTTGAATGAAATGAAAGATGGAGGCAACTTTGCCAAAGAACTTTGGAGTGAAGGACGGGTAAGTTCTGAAGTGGTAGAGTTAACTTTTTCACACGAGTTAAGAGCGGAATCCACCTTTAAAGATGGGGTATAGGGAGAGGACACCATAGGCCACAGAATGTTCCAAAATTAAGAAAGAGGCTATGCAATATGTTTTTGAGAAACAGTGGGTTAACCATCCTAGCTAATGGGGTGGTTTAAAATCAGGCAGAGCAAGTCAAGGTTGAAATAGCTTTTAAGAAAAGAATAAGAGCTTCTCCCCCCTTCCACAACCAACAAACAACAACAAAAACCATAAGCCACTGAAGGTTATTACACAAGGGAACAAACAATTAAAACAGCATACCATTGTAAGGGTATTTTGTAATATGAATTGGTAGTGGGAAGCCAGGAGGTGAGGGTACCCACTGTAACAGCCCAGAGAGAAACAAGATTCTCAGTCAGGATGGGGCAGTGGGGGTGGAAATTAAGGGAAAGGTGGGAACTGTCACTAGGGAGGGACAGTTAACCCATTCATAAACAGAATATCAATATAATAACAATGCTCCCTACTTCCACAGTGTCTGTCTGTCAAAGCTTTTACCAAAATCTTCTCAATTCGTACAGAAGTCCAGTGAAGAGTGTATCCAGTGTGATTATTTGAACTTATAAATGGGAACTAAGCCAGAAAAGTCACATTTCCTGGTGGGTAGGAGTAAGATGGGAGGAGCAGAAAGTAGTGAAGAGCAGAAAGAGAAAAGAGCACAGAATAGGGCATCTGTGATTCCACTTTATTCTGACGACTTCGCCCGACTTTGTCCCAAGGTGGCACATCTGCATTTGCCCCACATCTGGCCTAGTCATTTTGGTCCCTTTTTTGCATGAAGGTCTGATATCCCAGGAAGTCCCTGTGATGTTAGAATAACTTTTATCATGCAGGAATGAGTTTAATCTATGCAGGCATAACTTTTATCACTTGCAATGAGTTTAATCTATGCAGGAATTAACAAACCAATTGGTGAATAAGGAGTCTTTTCCCACTCATCCCCTCCACTCCCAGCACAGCACAAGCAGCCTCCTCCCATCCCCCCTCCACCACCCCCAACCCCGCCCCCCAGATCCACAAGGAATGTCCTCTCAGCCTCAAGCAGCCATACAGGGTCAGGCCAGGAAATCCCAGGCTGAGAAGCCCTCAAAGAAAATGCAAGTTGCATATACACAACTTGAGGCCTTCCTCTTTAAATTTGACAATGACCAAGTCAAGCAGAAGTAGAAAATCCTTTAAAACAAGTGCAATTTTATCCAAATTGTGACTTCTATCATTGAGGCCGACCCCTGGAATAAATACCCAGTGCAGCTCCAGAAGCCATGAGGGAAGGAGCAGGAAAACCGACGCCTTCCTCCCTTCAGGCTCTGTGACCTTGCCCCGGGCAGCGCCAGGAACCATATTCACTCCACAAGTGTCTACCTGGCCGGTTTCGTTAGGAAATTAAAGTGGTGGGAAGTCAGAGGCCAAACAAAATACAGAAATGTGTTTTGGAGCTTCCCAAATATATTCCAAGATTAGTCCCTCAGGGCTTAATTTTCCCTCTCAGTCTGTCCTCGCTCTCAGCCCAACCCTGCACTGGTTCTTGGAGGTCAAGGCTATATCTGGTTCCCCTACTGGTTTCTTGGCTCCTCATCCCCCACTTCAGAAGCTTTTTGGGTGCAACCTTTAGTTACTCAGACTCATGTCCTCTAGTCACTGTGACTTGAGGGCTAACGGTCAGCTCACTCTGTCACCCATCTGTGGAGAACTGTCTTTACGAGATGACTTCAACGAGCTGATTGAGTCAGAAGCAATACTATTCTGTTCAATTCCATGCTTTTGCTAAAAGTACTCATCAAATCCTAAAAATTCTAATCCATGCATGTATTTATCACAACATGAACCAAGATATTTGAGTGACCCGCACTTCCCACAGCCAAATCTCTCTACAAGCCACCAACTGCTTGATCCAGAGCTCTTTGCAATGCCTGTTTCACCCAACTGTTTGTAGGGAGTGCAGCAAGGAAGGCCTTAAAACTTACCATCATAGTCACCCTGGTTGCTGATGGAAATACGCACGCACCAGAACTCTTGAGTTTCCTATTGGTCCTGTGACCAAAAAAGCTCTCATCCAAATTGCTCTTTCTAAACATCAAAGTGACAAGAGTATGACAAGGCTACCCTACACCCACCCTTGCCTGTTCTAGGTCCCATCTGTTGCCCTAGTCTTTGCTGGATGAGGCCACCCCGTGGTTGATGCTCGGCCCTTTGCCACTTTTTCTACCCTGAGCTGTTCCAAACAAACTCAGGAAGTCTTAGACAAGTGGCAGATGGTAAGGGAGGGAAAGTCGGTAGGTAACACCTCTTGGTTACATAATGCTAAGCACGAACCTCCTAGAATCAACCAGCCTTGGAAATATCTCCTGGCCTCGCAATTCAGAATAAATAACTATGCAGAAAGAGAGAAAATTACAATTTTTTCACTTGATGACCAGTGTACAGTCATATTAGATTGGGGCAGAACTAGATTAAGATACATATCACTCATTCATTCATTCATTCATTCGATTCTTGTGTAATGCCCAGTACCTACAAAGCACTAAGCTGGGCCCAGTAGGGATACACTTCATAAACTTGTCTAGGCCACGTCACTTGTGGAAGCTATTAGTGCTGCTCCCTACATCCCGTTCTCCCTTTTCATTACAAGAAATATTGAATTGTGGCTAAATGGGATCACAGCACTAGTCCTGGCAGAGGCAATGTAAGTCACTTCTGGGTCAGATCATGTCATGAAAACAAGATCCTCTAGCTTCCTTTCCAGTGCTGCGGGGATCTTGCAAGCACACCCGAGATCACACCTCCATTGATTTGGGTCCCTGAGTGACTACAATGAGCAGGACCTACCTGCTGACCACACTGGACACACACCATAGGAAAGAAACCAGACTCAGTACTCAGCCACTGAGATTTGGAGGTTATTTGTTACTGCAGAATAACCTAACCTATCTTGCTGATAAATTACCATTTTAAAAAGAGAGGAACCTGCAAAGCGCCCCCCGCCCCTTTCTGTTTTCTAAATCAGATCATTCAGAAAAGCAGACCTTGTTTCAAAATTCAAGTGCAGCAGGGACTGAATAAAACCTTGAAATGCGGAGGGTGCCGACAGGATGGACACATTCAAACCCTGAAAGAGTAAGGAATGAAAACAGAATGACTTTTCAACAGCAGTGAAATCTAACCATTTGTGAAATTCAGCTGAAGAGTTTAAAGGCCATGAAGAAAAGGTCACCTTCTAACAACAGGCCCAGTCACTTACAAAGTAGTGAGCGCCCCAATGAAAGAGGCATTCAAGTAAAGGCTGAATGGTCATATGCCCCCTCCTCAGCAGTCCCCCTCCTCTTACTCTTTCTCACTAGCTACATTGAACTTAACAAGAATCAGGTCATCACTTCTCTATTAACCTGTAAGCTCCCTGAAGGTGGCTCATTTTTATGTCACCACACCACACTCCCACTCCTTGGCCCTTATCACAAGGCCCTTTATCTATTAGGTGCTTGATAAACATCTGCTGAGTGAATTAAATGAATGCTGAAGAAAGAGCTCTGGAGGCAAAGGTTGGTCTAATAACCTCTAGGGCTGCCCCTACCTAAAGCTAAACACACCACTGCAGACATCTGGGGGCGGGGCAGCCTCCACCTAAAAAAGTAAAAATAAAATAAAAATTGAACAGCAATGTGACACTTTATTATGATTTATTACTGCACACAATTTAAAGCCACAGTGAAACCTAACACTGTACAATGTTCATCTTTGTTCCTGGATGTGCATTTACATGTGCAGGTAGCTGTTTTCTCATACGGAATTGTATGTGTGAGGTGTTTATTTTTTCTATTAAAAAAACACACCACCACACCCTTTGTTTCTATGGCATTGTTACATTCCCTATTACCACCATCACGTGGTTTTTCTTCTTGCAGGAACACAGCACACACCCTGCATTATTGCTGACATAAAAACTGTCAAAATACCTCTATCCTAACAGCATTACAAATCTGATCTCTCTAACGCCTTGGCCTTTGTTTCCGCTGGGACTGGGTAACTCACCTACTTCTCCCAGTGATTCCTGCATGCTTACAGTAGAAGGATAAATGCCAGTGTCACTATATTTTTTTAAAGTCACCTTTCAAGACAAAACTACCCTGGAGGTGAAGGACAAATCTTTCAAGTTATTTTATTTTTGTAAGGGTTTGGGGGGGAGGGGGGAGGAATGGTGAAGAGAGAATCTGCCACAGATACTGTGCTGCTGCCACTGCTGCAGAGCAAGAACACCAGTAACCAGTAGCCTTTGGTCCTCAGCAACCCCTCCTTCCTACAAGACAAACCCCGAGTCCATGTCCATAACCATTCTGATCCCCTGCGACTTGTGCAGGTTGCCGGGACTCTGCCCTCTAGGAGAAAATGCCAATGCCAAGGTGTCCTGTGTCTGAAGGTTACGTTTTCATTGAGCTTTTTCAAGATAACCCCAGATCTGGTTAGGTTGCCGTCAAAACAGGACTATCCTTGGAAAGAAAAGAGCAGGCCAGAGTTTTTGGAAAAGAACCAACAACCTAAAGATAAAATGCAGACTGAGAGCCTAATGGTTCACAGCTTTATAAATGGAAACTTAACTGAAGCTCTGTTTTCTGTTCTTTCTGCTCCCCCAACAGCCTTCCCTTCCACCTCCCAGTAACTTACAGCTGGCAGAGTGATGTTGCAAACACTGTTACAAGGAAGGGATGGAGGAGAAACATCATTTCATAAGAAAGTCACTACATTTGACTGGTGCTCTAACTGAGCACCAGTCCAATCTGTAATCAGCCTTAGGATGATACCTTCTCAACAAACACTATGCCCCACTGAAGCCAAAATATATTACTACAGATAAGAAAGCCAGCATATATCCAAACCCCACATTCAGATACAACTATGTATTGATTATATCAAAATTCTCATCCAAAGAAACCGGGTGTAATTTACACAACCCCAAACGCACCCTGCCTGCCCTCAATGACTTCTTCAAAAGGAAGGTTTGAAGTCATTGGCGATTTCTTTCCAGCAGCCCCCACTCATCCTCCTCACGGGTAGGAATGGAATGGTGTGATGCAGAAACCACCCCAACGGCCCCGTGCAAAGCACTGTTGGCCCAAATGACCCGGGGACACCCAGGCGGCTACCCAGATTATTGGGGGTAGAGGGGGGTTACCTGAATCTGTCACCGAGTCTCTTTCACCCCCTTCTGTCTGATGACATCAAGTGGAAATGGTACGCGTTTGGGAGGCAAGAGGCTGACAAGCAGGAAGCACAATTGAGTCTGAGCTTTGTTCAGCCTGCGGTGAAATACATGCAGTAGGGGTTAGATACGCGCAGCAGAGAAAGAAATCCAAGCTTCCTCCGGGCCAGCGGCGGAGGGGTGCACTGAGGCGGTGGGGGACGGCGGCGGAGGTGTGGAGGGCCGGCGGGGGGCGAGGGGGCG